CAACTTCTTTCATTTCTTCCCAATAAAATAGAGTTGCATCCAATGTTCTTTCCACAGTGGCCACCTGCTCTGTTTTATATGAAAAAGTAAATTAAAATACTTAATCTTTGAAGTGGAAGACTCCGAAAATGCTATTTTAATATCTGAAAACAGGAACAGATCAGATAGGAATGACAACGTGAGAAAATGTAAGACCTTCCAACATTTGCCTGAGGCGTCAATTGCCAATGAGGTGTCTACTTCAAAGTTAAATGGAAGATTGACAACATTATATGACTAAAACCATTTTTTAAAAGTTAGTCATTGCTGGCTGGGTGTGGTGGCACACACCTGTCATCCCAGCACTTGTGAGGCTGAGGCAAGAGGGTTGCCACTAGTTTAAGGCCAACCTGGGATACATATTGAGTTTAAGGCCAGCATGAACTTCATGATGAGACACTGTTTCAAAAAAATTAAAAAAAAAAAAAAAGTCATTGCTGAGCATGGTGGCGCATGCCTGTAATCCTAGCACCGGAGAGGCTGAGGCAAGAGGATTCCTATAAGTTCAAGGCTAGCTTGGGTTACATAGCAAGACCCTGTCTCAAAAAACCAAAACAGGGCCCAGGATGTAGCTCAGTGGCGCAGCACCTGCCTGGCAAGTGTGAGGTCCTGAGTTCAATTTCTGGTACTAAAAACAAAACAAAAAACCACCACCAACAACAAATCTAGCCATTAAGATCAATATATATTTTAAAATTTTGACTGAGTTATTCATATAATTGTGTGTGTGTGTGTGTGTGTGTGTGTGTGTGTGTGTGTGATGCTGAGGATGGAACCCAGGGCCCTGGGTGTGCTAAGCAAGCACTCTGCCATTGGGCTATATCCCCAGGCCCATATAATTGTCTTAATGGCTTGTTTGTTTAAGCAACTGAAATTGGGCAGGAAAAAAGAAATTCTTTCAGACTTAAACCACTGGACAAGGTCTATTTTTTGTTGTTGTTGCTGTTTGTTTATTTTTGTTTTTGTTTGAGACCATTACATAGTTCAAGCTGGTCTTGAGCTCACTTTGTAGCCCAGGCTGGCCTCGAACTTGAACTCACAACGATCCTCATGCCTCAGCCTCCAAAGTGCTGGGATTACAGGTGTGCACCACCACGCCCAGCCCAAGGTCTATTATTCAACTAATGATGTTTGAAAAAAAAGATTTTCATAGTGAGAAATAGCAAAAAATAATCACTGCATTTGGTTATAAACTTTACTAAAACTAGTTATAAATATTGAAGTCAATGACATTGTTGTCAGATTAAATACCTTTCATTTGAGCTTATTAAATATACTTCAAATATATTTCATTGTAGTTACACTTTTAGATTTATTATCATAAAGGTAGCCATTCTTGTGCTACTAAAAGACAATATCCACTTAACTCACTGTGCCTTTGTTTAAATTGCAACATAATCTTTGTTCTTTTTTTTTTTTTTCTTGTGGCACCAGGAATCAAACTCAGGACCTTGTGCTTGCCAGGCAGGAGCTTATGCCACTGAGCTACATCCCCAGCCCTTTTTTTTTAAAATTTTGAGACAGGGTCTTGCTGTGCAGTTCAGGCCGGCTGTGAGCTCACTTTGTAGCCCAGGCTGGAATTGAACTCACAACAATCCTCCTTCCTCAGCCTCCCAAATGCTGGGATTACAGGTATGTGCCACCACGCCCGGTGTTTGTTTTTTGACAGGGTCTCACTATACAGTGCAGGCTGACCATAAATTCACTATGTAGCTCAGGCTGGCCTCAAATACATGGTGATTCTCCTGCCTTAGGCTACTGAGTTCTGGGATTATAGCTGTGTGCAATACCACCTGGCCTATTTTTAAAGATAATTAAATGCATTTTAATGTGAAATGTCAGTCTTTGTGATTTCATGTGCATACGATGTTGCCTATGCTTATTGTCTAGGTGGTTTACTACTTCAGGAAATTGTGTTTTATATGCTTTACATCCTGTGGATCTAATGAGCTTTATCTCTACTTCACTTTCCCTTTCAAACATAATCTAGTCCTTAAAACAAGAAAATAAGTTTAAGTACATTACTGCAGATTGCAGAGGATCATTTAATCTCTTATCAAAGACTATTTTTTTAAACACTACACATTTACTAATAAATCATTATATAATTAAATTGACCTTATCATGGGAAATTCTGTATAATCTTTCTTCCACTGATATGTAGTCATTTATAACTTTCATCCCATTCATTGATTTTATTCTCCCTAGAGTGCTGAAATGAAACTCTAATTTAAATTTGAATAATGACACCAATTTAACTATGAACCTACTTTATAATTAACCAAAGCATGCAATAAAACAAAATATCAAGATTATATTGTAAAGCTAGGCGTGGTGGCGCACACCTGTAATCCCAGCACTTGGGAGGCTGAGGCAGGAGGATCATTGCAAGTTTGAGACCAGCCTGGGCTACAAAGTGAGCTCAAGGCCAGCCTGAACTGCATAGCGAGACCCTGTCTCAAAAAGCCAAAAAAAAAAAAAAAAGATTATATTGTAAAAAAAAAAAAATGGGTAAGGGACAGTTGTTAAGGGAACATCCTCACATATAAGAGCAAACACATCAGAAATTGGCACATTTTAGAAATATTCCATACCCTACTGGCTTTAAAGAATTGTTTAATAAAATCCTTTAATTTATTTCTTTCCTTGGTACAATTCTCATCTAATAAATTACCTAGAGATCTGTAGTAGTCCAGAATAATGAAGTCTTGTCTCCTGTCAAGCAGCTCAAGGTTATGAAAGTCCTGTGGTAAAAGTCTCTTGCTTCCCGAGGAGGTTGCGATATAACTGGTAATAAGCTGGCTAACTGTTTTGGATACCATGCTTAGCACGCCAACATCTCTCACTACCAAAAGAAATATATGCATACATGCATGAATAGCTGAAGTGCAAGAACACTGCTCTTAGTACAGTCTGTTAATTTATAAGTTAATTCATTACTAATCATAATTATCTTTGTCCTAGTGGGAAAAAAAACCCTTAAATTTGTTTTAAATCCAGTTTTCAATTATTAGATCTATATTGGAATAAAACAATCAAGTTATCACATCATTATAAAAAGTTTTATTTGGTTTGAAGACATTGCTTTCTTCTTGTACAATGTACAATGTAACAACGATGAAACTTTTGAAAATAAACTTCACATGAGTGTTATTAACATTTTAGCAGAATTTAAAATGACAAACTACTTCCTGGAAAAAATTAAATATTTTAGTGTCCTAAGTAGCCTACTCACAGTCCCCAAATCTCACCTGACAAATAGTTTAAGATTATTTGGAATACTTCCAATGGCAGGACTTTAAAACTTCCAAGCGTTGATGAGGGCTGAGAATCTGAATCGCGTTTGCTGGAAAAATAGCTGGATCGACGGTTATGACGTCTGTACTTCTGGTTGGGAATCCTTGCGAAACTGGTATTTGTTCTAGATGCCATTTTTTTTTAATCTCATGAATTTATCCTGGTTAGAAGAACAAAGCACAAGAGATAAAGAAGAAAGGACATTACTTTTGTTTGTTTTTGTTTTAAACAAAGGGGTCCATGATAGGCAACAGCTGTCTCTCCACACTTACAGAACTTTTACTATAATTTCCAGTTTTGGGGGGTCTCACGAATAGAATCGACATATTCTTCTCAGCATCATTTGAAAAATTTTAAAATTCTTCATCTCTTGACCAAATATTTTAAATAAAGAGTATTACTAGGAAATGAGGAATGTATTTCAATGAGAAATAGCTCTAAGAAAATAAAAATTAAAATGGGAGAAAAGTTACTATGGTTTAACTTGTGGACAAAGTTCTTATGGACAGGTGCAAAGAATGTATTTTCTTTTGTAACCTGAATTCATCGTTCAGGTTGAGTTTTGACACATATAAGGAGTATTATGAAAAATAAAAAAGGAAAGAAGAAAAAGCAAAAACACATAAAAAATCAATATGATTCAAAATGCAGTCAATATCTATCACAGCTGGGATGTACTGAAATAGTACAGCACTTGCCAAGTTATATGAGACTCTGGGTTCAAACCCCACAATCCAAAACAAAACAAAAATCAATCACCAAAACCCCATAACATCCATCAAGTAGTATGTTCTTTTTGCAACCATTATATTCAAAAACAATCAAAGAATTAGTATAGCCTTAAAATTTTGCAACATTGTTCTTATATTTCTTTAAAATTGGGAATTGACCTGTATTCTTTGTTTATTTGTTTTTGTTTTTTTTGTTTTTGTCTTTTTGAGACAGGGTTTCACCATGCGGTTCAGGCTGGCCTTGAGCTCACTTTGTAGCCTAGGCTGATCCCGAATTTGGATTGATCCTCCTGTCTCAGCCTCCCAAGGGCTGGGATTACAGGCGTGTGCCACCACACCCGGCTGACCTGTGTTCTTTCAATAGAAACAATAACAGAAAAAAATAGACTCTAAGTTTAGAGCCTTTTTTTTTGGTCTTTTCGAGACAGTCCTGCTCTGCAGTTCACGTTGGACTTGAGCTCATTTTGTGGCCCAGGCTGGTCTCGAATTTGCAATGATCCTCCTGTCTCAGCCTCCCAACTGCCGGGATTACAGGCGTGCACCACCATGCCTGGCTGTAGAGCTATTTAAATGTACTAGCTATAACAAATTAAGTAGGTGGCATTACTATTACCAGTTACGTGTTGCATAATACACAAATAAGCAGCAAAATTAAAGTTTTGTAGCCAGGCATGGTGGCCCATGCCTGTAATCCCAGAGCTCAGTAGAGCGAGGGAGGATTGCCACAAATTCAAGGTCAGAGTGTACTACATAGTGAGACCCTGTCTCCAAAAAAAGCTTAACATTTTGTAAAATTAATAAGGCTATCATAAAGAATAAATCTCTCAGGTTTTTTCTTTCTTTTTTTTTTTTGTGGCACTAGGGATTGAGCTAGGTACTTCACACTGAGCTACATACCCAGCCCTTTTATTTTTTATTTTTATTTTTATTTTTATTTTATTTTTTGTCTTTGTGAGACAGGGTCTCACTATGCAATTCAGGCTGGCCTTGAGCTCACTTTGTAGCCCAGGCTGGTCTCGAACTCACAATGATCCTCCTGCCTTAACCTCCCGAGTGCTGGGATTATAGGCATGTGCCACCACACCCGGCTATTTTTATTCTGAAAAAATTTTGTGAAACTCTCCTAAATCTCTAAATTGTCCACCTAGGGCTCCACCTTGTGATCCTTCTGTCTCGACGACTCAGAACCCTCGGATTACAGACGTGCACCACCATTTCTGGTTTCAGTTCCAGTTTTTGTTAAAATCAGTCACTGGTAAATTTTAGGAAGGGCCCATATGACTTGATTTTAAAGACAAACATTTCCTAAAGGGAACTAGTGAAGTAGAGTATGATTTATTAGAAGCACTGACCTTAAACAATCATTCTTTAAAAATATCCCATGCATCATAGTACTGTGGTAACTTTGTGCCACTGTCTTGCTCTATTTCTGAAAACTATTTTTGTGTGTATTTATGTAGATAGTACATAATTACAGTTCCAGTCTATGGCTCTTTATTTCTGAAGTAACAACTAAGGCATTTCATCAAAGAGTTGCAAATCTTTCAGATAGATTTTGTAACCTTTTAAAATTAACCATTTTAAAAGGTTACATTTCAATAAAAAACAAACAAACAAACAAAAAAAGGTTACATTTCAATTTATATCAATTTAAAATTAGTTACACATTTAGCTGGGCCTGGAGGCGCATGCCTGTAATCTCAGCACTCAAGAGGCTGAGGCAGGAGGATCATTTCGAGTTCAAGACCAGCCTAGGCTACAAAGTGAGCTCAAGGTCAGCCTGAACTGCATAGTGAGACCCTGTCTCAAAAAAACAAAACAAAACAAAAAAATTAGTTACACATTTGAAAACCTGACAAAGGATCTAAACCATACCTATGGTGACCATTTAAAGTAGTTTTTTTGAGCCAGGTGTGTAATCCCAGCAAGAATCCTATTTCTTGTTTGAATAAAATATAGTCATACATGTTATAAATTGGGCATGGTGGTGCATACCTGTAATCCCAGCACTCAGAGGCTGAGGCAGGAGCTTTCCTGGGAGTTTGAGGCCATCCCCGGAGACAAAGGGAGCTCAAGGCCAACCTGAACTGCATAGAGAGACCCTGTCTCAAAAAGACACCCCCTAAAAAAATGGTATTTTTGAGACAAATTCTCAGCTATGTAGTTCAGGCTGGACTTGAACACACTATGTATCCCAGGTTGGCCTCAAACTTTCTATGACCCTCTTGCTTCAGCCTCCTGAGTGCTAGAATTACACATATGTGCTACCATGCCTGGCTAGATTTTTTTTTTTTTTTTCTTTTTTTGCGGTACCAGGGATTGAACTGAGGACCTTGCGCTTGCCAGGGAGGTGCTTATGCCACTGAGCTATATCCCCGGCCCCTCTGGCTAGATATTTTTAAAATAGTCACTAAAACTACATCAATAACGTGTAAAAACTTTTGTTTTTAACATGTAAAAACTTTAAAAAATACAATTAAATTTATTTATAAACACTTTGGTGTTTATATCATTCTAGAATTTTACATATATATTGCTCTTTTCACAAAAAGCTGTGAGGCCAGGCATGATGGCACACGCCTTTGATCCCAGCACTGGGGGGTACTGAGGCAGCAGGATCGCCATGAGTTTGAGGCCAGCCTGGGCTACATGGCGAGTTCAAGGCCAGCCTGCACTGCATAGGAAAACCCTAAGACCCAGTCTCAAAAAAAAAAAAAAATTCTTTTCATGCCATTCAACAAACTTCAAGTACTCATTTTTAATGGCTGCATGCAATTCTACTAATAGAAGAACCCTAGCTGAGTTTGTAACTTTTCAAGGTAGGCATTTTAAAAGCGTTTTCGTGATAATAAAATGCAGACGTGGCCTCGCGGTGACAGCGGGAGTGGGGACCCTGTTCTAGGGGACGTAGTATCACTCACTGAGGACACGCGCATTTAAACCGCCCCATGGGTTAAAAAAAAAAA